TTCACTTCCATCTCCAGAGTTCAATTACAGGGCTGGTCTCTGAAGTTTAGTTTTGATGGATGCAACATGATATATTAAAATCAATGCCATTCATAAATGAGGACCCATAGTTAATGGCACATCTGTACCACAAATACAATTAATACCAAAAAGCATTATTACATGAACTGCATCTTAGAAATGTGGTGGATGTTTTCTTGTATAAACATCTATAGTACAAATTATGTTAACAATAAAAAACATGAGTGATATGCATTAAAATATTTAAGCATGGTTTAATGGGAGAGGGGAACTTACCAGTTTTTAATGCATGCTTTGACCCTGGTAGTTTATCTTCTTCAAAACTATCCTAAGCTAATTTATGGTGAACATCATTTGATGTTTTTACAACTTCTTTGTCCTTCTTACAATCATTGGCAAGTAGATCAATTTACTTAGGTCCCTGGGTCTCTTGACATGCGGGATGAAAAAATGTACAATTACCAATAAAATAAGCAAATGTAGGTTTTTTTGTCAGCAGGCAGTGATTTCTGTAAATGTGAAAAGGATCTGAATTAGGAAAAAGTAGGCAATGGATAGCTGATGAAACGAGGAGGAGAGATGAGGGAAGTCTTCATTAACCTGAGTTGTGAATACACTGGTTTCTTCAACCTTCCATTTTACTCCCCTTTCTGATTTCAATTTGCTCTTTGTCTAAGAAAAACAAGAACCCTTAAGATTAGATACTGTCTAATAGTCGGAACGTTAAGAGTTGGTGACAAGAATTTTGGAGTTAATGTACTAATTTTACTGATGACTCACTGAGAACTTCGTATAAGTTACTTAACCTTGTGTTACTTCAGTTCCTGATGTGTTCAAAAAGAATAAATTTGATCCTAAAAATAGTTAAATAGGTTGACTATTTAGAGTTCCAAGAGGATATTTAATGATGTAAATTTCTACCACTTTAATATTATACTTTGGCAGTATGTCTTAAACTATCTATGCTGTGGCTAACTTCTAAAACTACATTATAAACATATCTTTTTTAAAATTCATTTTCCAACTCCATTCTCCATGTCCTTGGTATCCTTGTTTCATGAATTTCTTTTCTCTGATAATATTTTTAAAACTTTCAGATCATTAAGTCTGCTTTTGCTGGTTCTTTGGATTCTAATAAAATCCTTTATATTTTATCTTACTTGAATTAGGATTCTTTCTCTTATAATCTACTGCCAGCATATTAGCCTGATATTTTTCTTATATGGAAAAGATTAATATTTTATTTTATAATAAAAGCATTATATATAATATGACTAGAAATGATATATCTTAAATTTCATATAATTTTTGTCCATGAATCTTTGTCTATCTTATTTGTGTATGAATTACTCATTAATATATCTATAGTATATAAGATGAGAGAGGGAAAATTGCTTCATTACATTTTATTTATCTGTTAGAGATGGGGTGTTGCTGTGTTGCCCAGGCTGATCTTGAACTCCTGAGGTCAAGAGATCCTCCCACCTTAGCCACCTGAGTAACTGGGACTATAAGTCTGGACCATTGCTCCTGGTTCACCATTAAATTTAGAATTAGAATTTTGCAGATATAAATGGCCCTAGAGGTCATCTTGTTCAAGCCCCTCATTTTATAGATAAGAAAACAGGTAAATCACTTACTTGTCTAAGGCTACAAAGCACTTAGTTATAGAGAGTAGGGACTAGAACTCATGAGTCCCGGGTCCCCAGCCACTGTTGTTACTACTGAACTCCTAATACACTTGTACCCTTTAACTGGTGAATCTGGTTAACCCATGTTGGATTCAGCCTCTAGATAAACTTATCTCCTTGTACTTGAACGCTGCACCTTTAATTCAGGCCATCCAAAATTATAACCTTGTAAACCAGAAGTCGAGATGGAGAACTGGCACAGATCCATTATCCAACTGAAAAAACATATGCTACACAGATGCTGGATAGTCATCTTTGTTTCCAAGGACAACACATCACTTCTCAGAGATAGCAATCCATTCCACGATTATTTGACAAACATTAATTTACATTCTCTATGCAACAGGCACTGGGTATTTCCTATCTTAGGATCCCTGAACTTATACTCTCAAGATCAAGGCAAATGTGAAACAAATAATGGTAAAAAGAGTTGAATCTTTAAGTATACATATCTTAAAAGCATGAAGTAAAAAAATGCCCTTTTTTACATCACATTTTCTTGCAAAATTTGCCCTTTTAAAATATAATCAGAAAAGGGAGCAAGATGAGCATATAATGGAAAGTTGATGACTCATAATTGCAAAGCTTTATTTGGTCCATGCTTAACAGCTGTTTCTCCTGCTAGGTATACTGCTGTAACTAGATAAAAGTTGTTCCGGAGTTGGGAGAGCTAAAGTTTTAAAGTGGGGTGGGGAAAAAGAAAAGAGATGGGGTTTCACCATGTTGGCCAGGCTGGTCTCAAACTCCTGACCTCACATGATCTGCCTGCCTCGGCCTCCCAAAGTGCTGGGATTACAGGCATGAGCCACAGTGCCTGGCTCATTTTTTTTAAATGAAATCAGTATGTACTGATGTATAAATATGTACAGGCTAAGTGGGGGAAAAGCATGTTTAATATTAAACCATTTGTGGAAAACATGTACACACATCTATGTGTTTCTATATGCCTAGAATATTTCTGCAAAAAAGAACAGAAAACTGTTGATTGTATATGATTGTATATCCAGAATAGAGAGAATGTTTCCTTTTGCAATTTATACCTTTAAGGTATAAATTGAATGTTTTATCCAAGAATGCATTACTTTTATAATAATAAAAATACTAATTTAAACATAATCCATGCTACTAAAAATAAAAAATTAGCTAAGTGTGGTGGCACGTGCCTGTAGTCTCAGCTACTTAGGAGTCTGAGACAAGAGAATCGCTTGAATCTAGGAGGCAGAGGTTGCAGTGAGCCATGATCGTGCCACTGCACTCCAGCCTGGGCAACAGAGTGAGACCCCGTCTCAAAAAAGAAAAAAAAAAAAAAGAGTGTATACATTTGCATGCTTTTACCATAATTTAAGAAGAAGCTGAACTACTTTTTTAAAGTCAGAAATACTGTGAAGGGAACCGGCATGGCGGTGCACACCTGTAATCCCAGTACTTTGGGAGGCCGAGGTGGGTGGTTGCTTGAGCTTAGGAGTTGGAGACTAGCCTGGGCAACATGATGAAACCCCGTTTCTACAAAAAATACAAAATTTAGCTGGGCGTGGTGGCACACACCTGTAGTCCCAGCTATTTAGGAGGCTGAGGTGGGAGGATGGCTTGAGCCAGGAGGCGAAGGTTGCAGAGAGCTGAGATTGTGCCACTGTATTCCAGTACTCCAGCCTGGGCAACAGAGCCAGACTTTGTCAAGAAAAGAAAAAAGAAAGAAAAGAGAGAGAGAAAGAGAGAAAGAAAGAAAGAAAGGAAGGAAGGAAAGAGAAAGAAAGAAGGAAAGAAGGAAAGAAGGAAAAAGAAGGAAAGAAAGAAAGAAAAAGAAAGAATGGAGGGAGGGAGGGAGGGAAGGAACGAAAGAAAAAGATTGGGAAGGTAAAACAAATATATATTTAACGTATTTGCAACAGCCATTGTAACAGTGAATAACAGTCACAGGTGTATAATAGTGAAAGTTTGTTAAATTAGTATTTCTTCGTTTGTTGACTCCTACAGCCCATCAGTGTTTTGATTGGTCGCATTCGGCTTTTCATTCATAGCTGCTCAAAACTTTCTCCCTAACTAACCTGAGGAAGTGGTAAAAGTCAGACTTTTTTCCGGTATGAGGCCACCCTTGGTGCTGTCTGTAATTATCTAGATATGGCAGCCAGGACCCAACAGCTTTGCGTTTCAACTCATATGGACTTTCCAGGCGAATTCCTTGCCCCCCTCTGCTCCCCACTTAGCTTGACTTCCTGTCTTTTATCATCCGCAATCTATCAAGATCCTACAATGTATTCAGTGTAGGACAGAACAAATCACTGTTTTACTTCACAATTTAAGGAAGGCAGGGGGCTAGTTTTTAAGATAAAAATCTCTTAACAAAACGTAAACTCCCTCAAACTTCCTTCAAACCAAATAGCATTGTCATACTCTCACAAACTCTTATTACTTATAAAGCCAGATGACTCAAGATTACTAACATTTCTATTCATAAGGAGTTTGCTGGCCCCAAATCAACACAATCAAGCCCTCCCCCACCTTCCTTCTCGCTCCCCTGGGAGACTGACGTTTGGATCTCACGCTGCACGAGGTTTTTTCAGAATGAAGACGAAGTGTGTTTGCTGCTGGAACTGTTTGTCCTGGAATTTTATAAACACCTTCCCCACCCCTTTTTAAAGTTCTGTTTTTGAGGTGGCGGAAAAGGAGGTCGGAATCTGTTTAGCCTCTAAGTCTCTCAATTCAGAAATATATTCTAAGAATGAAAGAAAGACCAAGATCTGTGTTTGCTATTTACTGCAGAACTGGGTATTCTCATCAGAAATCACCTACATGTGTCACCAAGATCAGAGACGAGGATGAGGGAAACAGCGTGATCCCTGCCTTCTGGAGGGTTCCAGTTGAAGCTTCCGCTGCCTCTGCACTTGACCTCAAAACAAACAAAAAATCCACCGCAAACAAATCCGGGGCCACCATTCCCCTTGGATGTTTCATCTTGACAGCTCTGTGGTAAAAAAAAAAAAAAAAAAAAAAAAAAAAAAGGCACCCTACATCTGAATGCGTCCCTAAGGCCTTACCGCACGCAGTCCAGGAGGCAGTCCAGGCAGCTGCCCTCCACCCAACTCCGCGCTTTTTCACACGCGCCCCTGGGAAGGACAAAATCGCTCAAACGACTGGACTCGGCCCGTTTCCTCTCGGTAGCCTCCCCGCAGCCCAAGACGCTGTCCACAGACGCGGCCCACTCCTACCCCGGCCCTTTCGCAGTCCTCCCGCGCGCGGGCGGGGCGGGGAGGAACGCGGGGGCGGCCGGGAGGGGGCGCCGCAGGGGCGCGAGCCAGACCCGGAGGGCCGCGGAGGACGCGGGAGGCGCGCGGAGAGCCGAGGTCTCGCTAGGATCCCGCGCTCCGGGGCCTTCGGCGAGGGAGGGGCGTGGCGGGGGCAGCGGCGGGGCGGCGGGAGCGTCGGCGTGGCGATTCGGTGCCCCGGCTTTTTCTGCCCAGCGCCTGCAACTCGAGGCTGAGAACTTCTCCGGCCGGCCCACCAGTCCTGGCCCCGCGCAGGCGGCGCCAGGCGACTCCCGCACCTTGTCCCCCGTCCGCCCCCGCCTCCTCCTCCGGCCGCACCACTCCCCCTGCCGGCCGCGATTCTCTCCGTTACAAAGGAGGGAAAATGAGCCGGGCGGCGGCGGCGCGGCGCGGGGCCACCACGGCGGCGGCGAGCGCGGCCGCCCCCGGCACCACGTAACCCGCCCCCGCCCGCCCAGCCGCGGCCCAGGCCCGAGCGGAGCCTGCCGCCTGCAGCCTGCCGCCGTGCGCCCGCCTGCAGCTCGCCTCCTCGGCCCTGAGCGTCGCCTCCCGGCCGGCGGAGGAGGTGGAGGAGGAGGAGGCGCGGCTTTCCCCGCGGCGCGCGCCCCCGCCGTTGTCTGAGCTCTGCTCTGGACCAGTTTGGGGAAGTTGCCCCGCGTCACCCAGATGTGCGACCTCATTGAGCCGCAGCCGACCGAGAAGATCGGCAAGATGAAGAAGTTGCGGAGAACTTTGTCAGAGAGTTTCAGCCGCATTGGTGAGTAGCGCGCTGCCCCCAGCGCCCCCAGCACCCGCTCCCCTCGGCCCGCGCCCCCGTCGCGCTCCTGGCACCAGCCATGCAGCTGCCACCGGGTCTGGCGTGGGGTGCTCTGCGGGCAGGGGTCGAGGGCACAGTGCTGGGGATGCCGGGGAGGGCGAGGACGCAAAGAGAAGAGACCCCTCTCCCTCAGGTTCTGGGGGTTCATTGGTAGACTGTCTCAAGCCTACCATATGGGTTCCCCCCTCCTCCGCCACTAGTGCTCGCCCTTTCGCGCGCGTGGGGGACGGGCGAGACGATCCGTCGGCCCCCACCGCGCTAGGGGCTGCGCGGCTGCTTGGGTCACTTGTTATTTTTTTGCGCACAGGCTTAGATATTGGGTGTTTGTTTGGCCAGTAATTTAGCTTTGGAAATTGGTGAAACGTTAGACTGTGCCCTGGTATTGTTTAACATATCCAACCTAAAGGGAAGTGGGACAGTTACCTTGGGACCTATTGTTCGGTACTTCGGGTCCTGGAAAGCGAGATTTGGGTGTTCAGTCTTGAGGGCTCTGAATCTTCCTGCTACTGGAGAGAAATGCGCGCTGTGAAGTTGTCTGGACATTTAGGAATGTCTCCCAAACTTGTTCCATTTACTAGAGCTCAGGGGCTATTGTCTTTAAACCAACCAACCAACTGAGCAACAATATTTAGGACAGTGAAGAATAAATTCTTGTCACAGGTTGTAACAGGGTGACAACAGTGTCACGTGGAATGCATTTGTTAGATTTTGAGTATTGCTCATATAAAACCTCTTTTAACGTGAAGAGGTAGTTGCCTTCCCTGCTGTCATAACTTTCACTGATACAGGTAACTATCCTGAGCAAGAGAATGCCTTAGACACAAAAAATAATCCTTGCGAGCCCCTAGGATGCCGCCTAGTCTTTGTTTCACTTGTTTAAAATGTCATCAATGTTAACGAAAGTGTTAATGGAAATTAAGCATAAAGGTGCTTAATTCCTTAAAATAAAACCCTGGAATGCACAAGAGTGTTACAGATACTCTTCCATTCATTGTAAGATATGTAAACTTTCTTCGAGTATGAGAGTACAATAGATCGAAATTTAGCCGTGTGTGTGTGTGTGTGTGTGTGTGTGTGTGTGTGTTTGTGTTTTGTCTTTCGACTTAAAATTTTGTGGTGTTATGCAAAATCTTTCCCAAGATGACTGTAAAGTTGTGGCGTGAAACCAATCTTTAGTTTTATTTATTGCATGTATTGGATATTAACAATTTTGCTCTTTGGAGTTAGGGATACATATGGAGAGTCCCTGCATTCAAATGAAGTTTGAAGCCAAGAAGAATGTGAGAGGGAAATGTTGAGTCGTGTGCATTATTAATGAGGATGTTTCAGTCCTGACCCAAACCTTCGCAGAGGCGGGTTCTGGAGTCCATTAAGCCCTGTTCTAAAACACATTAACTATATGTTTACCAATGCTAATGATTCTGTTGGAGCCCCTCCAGTTTTTTGTTAAATAATTCATTGCAATTGAGTCTCAGTAAGAAACCAAGAACATTAATATAAAAGTTCCTTATGTTTAAATAATTTCAAGGTTTTGATTGACAATCAGTAAAATCTGGATTAAGTACAGTGCTGGCAAATGAGGGTATTATAGTTAATTGGATTTTCTAGCTTACTGAGATTTAGTGATGTGAAACTCCTTTTGAATCTAACTCTTGTTAAAATGTCTTCTAAGATCTAGTGGATTTTATATCCTCGCTTTAGAACACAGAATACAGTGCAGTGAACACAACTGATTATTTTTGTATTGATGGAGGGTATGATTCTGAATCGTAGATCTTATTGTGAAATATTGTAAAAGAAGATACTGCAGTGATTATAGTTGTATACCAAGCCAAGGGCATTCATTAGAAATAGCATTACAGAAACAAAATCTGTATCTTCTTATTTTCTTAGTGTTTTATATTGTATTTGCAAAATTAAAACCAGTGAACTCGTTCTGATTATCTAAGGATTTTTAAGGTGCTAGAGGTTGTTGAATTGAGGGTTTACTATGGGATTATATAGTGCATAAGTTAAGAATGTGGGCTGTGTGTCACACAGGCTGGGTATTTACAGTGTTGCCATGCCTAGCTGAGGTCCCTCAACTTCTCTGAGCTTCAGTTTTTCATGTGCAATTCGGTTTTGTTGCTGGCTTTTAGTGAAATAATGCACATCATGTCCTGTGTGGCACATTATATAAAGACTCAGTAAACGTTCAAGATATGTCATTGTTGTTGTTATTATTAGGGATTCCATCATACTGACGCAACTGATCTTATAGATAGAAAGCAAGAGAAGAGGGAAGTAGCCCTTGACTTTGTAGTATAGCCAGCCTTACAACAGCATGTGGGTTGGAGTTAGGCAGGCCTGGATTTGAACTCAGTTTTCCTTTCCTGCACTGTGCCTTTGGCAGCCAGTGGAGTTTCCCTAAAGTCCAGAGTCTTCATCTGTAAATATTCATATAAGGTGAATATATGTGAAGATTAAATCGGATAAAATACGTGAAAAATCTAGTGCAGTATCTATCACAAGGTGAAGGACAATGTGGTAGGTTGTTTTTACTCCTTCCAACTTTTGTTTATACCCCGTTATCCTCCTTTCTTCATGGGTACTTCATGAGGAAATCAAAGAGTGAATGGTTTATTCTTGTTGAATAATCCACACTGCAATGTATTCATTCTCTTTAACCAATCTAAGATGGCTTTTGAAATAGACATACTGACTTTATTTTGCTGCTTTGGTATGATCCAAAAGTGTAGCTTGTTGCATGGTAAAATGTACAATATTATTGTTTAGCCATAAGAAATTATTAATCATTCATCTATAGAAAATGAGAAAATGTTTGAAAGTATCTGATATTCAATCAATGTTTATTATTAATAATAATTCTGAATACATAAAAGTAGCAAGCTAATGTTTAATTTATTTACACATCTGCGGTCATGCTGACTTTATCACTGCCCACCCCAAATACAACTGATCTGAGATTACTACATTATAAAACACATTGGCTTTCAAGCCATAGCACTCTAATTTACAGCATCTGCCAGAGAACGACTATGATATAGCTATGGTTCTTTTATAAGATGGGTGTAATTGAATTTTGAAGTCCCCATCAATTTCAGTAGTATTTATGGTTTTCTACTAAATAGTGCCAGTGTGGTCACTTACTTAGGAATTACTGCTGTTGTCTCACCCTTTTTTTTTTTTTTTTAATTTAGGCTAACGAAGACAAATGGGAACTTAATTACTGAATAGTTTAAGTATATTAAGTTCATTTCCTCTTTTCTTTCTTGTTTCTTTTTTGTTTCTGAATGTTAGCCTAGAAGGAGAAAGGCTTTATGTAATATCCAGTGTATGATTAAGGGCAAACCGACCTTTTTTCATATTCATTTCAATGTACTTCTTCTTACTTATTTGGACTTTCTCCTAGAGAAAGGAAGTTTATACTCTGTGATATTTGAGATGAACCCCATGTATACCATTTCTTTAAAGGATATGGTTTTTGAGGGAACTAAATAAAAAGAAGAGGCTGTGATTACACTGAACTTTGGGGTTTGTAATCTTGTGCTATAAGTGTGTAATTCTAGAGTTCAGTTGTCATTTGATGAATTCATTATGTCAGAAAAGTGAAAAGTAAGGTTAAATGTTCAGACACAAATTTAACTATTGTACCACATTCTCCCCAATGCAATTTCAAAAGATTTTAATTTGAAAACTACAAAATGGAATTTATATCTATGATCTTTTAAGAGAGAACCAATGCATCATTTACATACATAAAAACTTAAGTGTGTCTCCAAAGATACTCTTCTTTTGCCAATAAACATTAAGGTAGGGCTCACTAATTCAACAAATAATTATTGAGTACCTTCTCTCAGCTATCGATATTGTTCTGACAGTCAGAGTCACTGATCAGTGTGGCTGGTCCCTGTCCTCAAGGATTTTAAGGGAAGACAGGCCAGTGACCAGGCATTTACAATATAAAGTGAACAAATCTATCATGAAGGTTAGTGAAATTTGCTGTTGGAGGACACAGGCGGAGCACCACTTTCATCCAGGTGAAATCATGAAAGGCTTTCTAGAGGAAGCAATGTCTGAGCAGAGGACTGAATAGAATATTGCTGATCTTAAATATTTTGATATATGCCCCTTGGCTATTGTAGAATAATGTAATATGCTTGTTACTCCATGAAATCCTTAAAGATAATTGTGGATTTAGATTACATGAATGATTAATGGCAATCAGGGAACATAATCAATAATGAAATGTTGTATTCTTGTTTGGGTCAGAATAAACTCATCAGTGACCTGATGAATGTCTAGCAAAGACATCTTAAGTTGGTCTTTGTCATCACTGTTGACTGCTGTTCAGGACAAGGACTCAATATTTAGAAGAAACCCTGTAAGGTGTCACTTTAGCAGTGAATGATTTCAGTGAAGTAATGGTGTTCTGTGATACCTTCAGCTTGAGAGTATTGTGCAGATGAGAGAATCTGGCTTCCTGTTCCTTATGTCATAGCAGATACACTTGGAGTTTCTTCTGTTTTCTCCTCTTGATACCTCCAGACCTCACCTCTTTTTTTTTTTTTTTTTTTTTTTTTTTTTTTTTTTTTGACCCCATCTCTTTATTCAGAATGTTGGGAGAATGGTTAGGACTTAGAAGATAAGAAGGAAATAGTCCAGTCTGGATGTTCAAGACATTCTAGTTTTCTGCTGTCTTCATTTCTCAACTTGAGGCTCTTCATTTTATCTTTGTAGTTCCCTAAGGGATAGTATTATTATTATTATTATTATTATTATTATTTTATTTTATTTTATTGACACAGAGGAACAAGCTCTCACTCTGTTGCCCAGGTTGGAGTGCAGTGGTGCGACCTTGACTCACTGCAACCTCTGCCTCCCAGGTTTAAGTCATTCTCCCACCTCAGCCTCCCAAATAGCTGGGACCACAGATGTACCACCACCATGCCTGGCTAATATATATATATATATATTTTTTTTTTTTTTTTGGGTTTTTTTTTTGCAGAGATGGGGTTTCTCCATGTTGCCCAGCTGGTCTTGAACTCCTGGGCTCAGGCAGTTCACCTGCCTCAGCCTCCCAAAGTGCTGGGATTACAGGTGTGAAGCACTGTACCTGGTGGGGTAGTATCAACTGTAGTTCTTATTGTATGCTTTGCTTAAGAAAACACATGGCTCAATTTCCAGAACTTTTATAATCCAAAATAAAGACAGTATACTTTTTTTTTTTTTTTTTAAGATGGGGTTTCACCATATTGGTCAGGCTGGTCTCAAACTCCTGACCTCAGGTGATCTGCTCACCTCAGCCTCCCAAAGTGCTGGAAATACAGGTGTGAGCCACCACGCCTGACAAAGACAGTATACTTAAAAGTTTGTGCTGTGAATTATATATTTGTTGCCGTAGCTTTGCATTTTGCATGGCAGTTATATACTGTGTATGTTCCATTAATCTTTGTTAAATGAGCTAGGTATGAGGCTGTCTGATAATTTGCTTATGTTAGACTTTGTATTTGAAATCATTGGGCTATTAGTTTCTTACTCCAAAACATTTAGTTTTTCAGATTGAGCAACTTGTCTATATTTAGAATTATATTACTAATGTTTTGTAAGGACTCATTAGTCAAGCATGTTAATTAAGGGACACGCCTTGCGTTGAGGAATTAGACAGTATAGTAATATTGTTGACTGGTATTTATACAGAGCCTTGTAGATTAGAAGTTAAATTCTAGTGAAAATGTAGTCATTAGGAATTAGCTAGGATCTTAATATTGTTCTATCAAAACAGATTATTTTAGATTTAATATGGGTAATTTTAGATTTAATGTAGGTTAAGTTAAATACATAATTAAAATGTGCAAGTAATTGAATGTAAAATAAGCTATTTACAACAAAGAACTGTCTTTTTATTTTCCATTCACTTTCAGAAGAAATGATTGTCCAATAAAGAAAGATCAGTTTTTTAGGCAAAAGAGAAAAATAAAAAACTTTTAGAAACATTTTATTTTCTCAGCCTACCTGCATCCCCCTTTACTCACCACAATCACATTCTTGTTGAAAACACAAATACATGAAACAGAAAAATAACCTTTTCATGATTGTTAGATATGTATTCTAAGCTTTTTATATGATAGCTTCAGTTTGGGCACATTACTTTTCTCAGAGCTTAATTGCCAGAATAATTTGCTTTTCATTGCTTTTGTCAGAACAAAGCTTTCTAAGTAACTTCCCAAGTTGCCTCTATCCAGACTAAAACTATCAGGTATAAACCAGCAAACATCTATGCACAATTCTATAAATTTGAAACATTTCTCCAGCTAGTAGTTTCTGATAAATTAGCTATTTAATGCATTCTCCTTGATATGAAATATTCCAAGTAATTGTAAAATGTAAGGAAGTAGGTGTTTGCCAACTGTAGGTGAAATTCTTCTCTTTCTATGTTGGGTGAAAAAATTCCAGTTCTGAAGCTATGGACAGTCATGCATGTATGATGGTGGTCCCCTAAGCTTATAATACTGTATTTTTACTATACATTTTTCTATGTTTATATACACAAATACTTGCCACTGTTGCCGATAGTATTCAGTGCGGTAACGTGCTGTATACATTTGTAGCCTAGGAGTAATAGGCTATACCATATAACCTAGGTGTGTGGTAGGTGGTAGCATCTAGGTTTGTATAAGTACACTCCATGATGTTTGCACAGTAATTGCCTAATGGTGCATTTCTCAGAATGTATCCCAGTTGTTAGGTGACACATGACTCTATTTAAGATAAATTTGAAGTATTTGCTGGTTCCTATAAAATATTCTGAATGTTTTTCTTTTGAAATATTTCATTATAAAATTTATCAGGTTGAAATATTTGAATTATGTCTCTTACTCTGCAGTGCTTATTTTAACACGCTTAGTCTTTCATCAACATACTTACACTTCACTCAATATGAAAATGTCATTCAGGGCTCTATGAGAAGTAGATGTCATCCTAACAATTGATGATGTATGCTCAAAATCCAGGAGTTTAAGGGGAAATTTCTTTAAGATTACTTTGTGATTCTTTTATACTTTCATTAAAACATGTTCCAACTAAAGAAGAGATATGGAAAAGTTATGCGTGCTTCTTTCTTATATCTAGGAGGATAGTTCTATTTGCATATTTATGAAAAATGTTCAAAAAGATCCATGCTCTGCAATTCTTTCTCTTTCATTTGCAATTTTCATTTTCGTATCATAACATTGTTATTCAGGTTGGGGTACAGTTTACCTTCTGAAATGAAAACACCATACTGCCTTGTTTTTTTATTTTTTATTTTTTTCTGTTTTCTGTAACTTAGAGAGTCTCTTTGGAATTTTTCACAATAACTGTTTCCTTTTCCTTCTTATTTTATAGCTTTGAAGAAGGATGACACCACCTTTGATGAGGTAGGTTGAATTTCTTTATCTAATGTTAGATGTATTTAATTACTGCCAGGTAAAGTCAGTAGGTGCCAACTTTGTACTTAGAAACAAAAAAAGCTTTTAAAACACACAAGAGATGACATCTGTTTATTTAGTTACATTGTGTTATTTTCAAATTTTAAATAATTGTTTAAATGAATTTTGTTAGCAAGTAACAGAAATAGGTCTTTTTCAATTAATAAATGAACTAATTAGAAGACACATGCAGGCCTTTGTGGTGTTGCCTTCTTGCTGGTGGTGGTGTTTGAGACATGCAGTATGCTTAAGGCAAGTCTGGAGCTGTTGGTAAGTTGGGCACCATGGCTTCTTGCAGACCTCAGCTGAATCAGGGTGTGATGTGTCGTTGATGCCACATGTTGTCTTTCAGTCTCCCAAAGGAGGAGTTGACTTTTCCTATTCTAGTTTTCCTCTTCTTTGTATATCAGATCTGTCTTGATCTACTTGCCACAAAGTAGTATAAAATCCTTTTCAAGCAAGGCAGAAGGTTCATATGTAATTAATAGCATCCTAAATGTGATTTTAAAATTACAGTTATTCCTGAATTTTTGTGGAAATCACCAGAGAAATAGTGAATGTTCACAAAATGTTTTCAAAATGCTGCAAAGTGAAGTGTTTCATTGTAATCATCCTAAGCCACACTCATTGATCTGTGTTGTACACTGGGCCACATGTGTATGTAGATTGTTTTTATATAGGAACATAGGTGTTATCTATACAATGTGCTTACCCTAATGCCTGATGAAAGCATAAATTGGTTTGGTGGTTTGGTTTGTTTTAATAGTTACATATTCCATGAAATATGCTACCTGTCTTCCCTCTGCTGCAGTGCTTCAGTGAAGAAAGGGCATTTGTGCTCATGGAAAGTCCCCTTGGCCATGTGGTTGGCCATGGTGCACGGCAGGTCTGCTCAGGGAGAACCTGTTCCAGGCTGGGATTTCTGGATGGGGCCAGCGTCATTTGGCTGTCACGGTCTGCTGCTTCATCTGCTGCACCTGTTCTCTTTTTCCTGGGCTGAGCTTTACAAAGCTGTGTGTCCCTGGACTCCAAAGCACCTTTCCCTGCCAGCATTCCTGTGACATCCTCTAAAAAACTTAATTCTTCTAGGCTTGAAGCAATAGAGGAGTCTTTTCTTGTCCCTTCATAGTGGGCAATAATGCAGTTTTCCTCTAAACCTGTATTTCTGGACTTTCTGTAGTGTTAATATTGAGATGTTTTCAGGAGAGTGTTTTCTTTTCAGGAGAAATTAATGTGGGAATATTTGGCACTGTTTTTCTCTTTATAAAGAAAATTTCCCCTATAATTATGGAAGCAAATTAAGCTTACATAAAAAAAGAGAAGAAAAAGGGGAAAGAAAAATCTCATAAATCCTGTTACCCAGATATAACAACTGTTGAAATGTTCTTGCTTCTTTCCCCATGTTTTAAAAAAGCAGCGAATTATTATATCCTGCTTTTTTCTTTGATCTGATAACATTGTATTTTCTCATGTTTTTACAAACTCTTCCTAATCATCATTAGAAATTTTGAAAACCTTTTTGCTTGCTTAAACACTATTGTTAGTGATTCGTTTAAAAAAAAAAACCACCTGAGATTGAAGCCCAGATGAAGGTTAAAGATGTGTCAAACCTGTAACTGCCCCCCTGTCTGTTATTCTGAAATCTTTGTATAGTCAAAGGTCTAGAGTTTGTAATTTGGGTCAAAATCATTCTTAGCTTTTGCTAAGTGCTTTCCTTCCGCTGTGCCACCAGAGATTGGTAACTATCACAAATCAGTAAATCACAGAATGCTCAATTTGGAAGATCCATTGGAAATCATAATTTTCCCACTCCATCATTTCACAGATGAAGAAATTTAGAATCAGAAGGGGCAGGTAATTTCCAGCTAATGAAGGAAAGACTCAAGGCCAGAAAAGCTAGGAGATAGTAGTAATGAAGGCATGCCGGGTATAATCCCTAATTTGGCTACCCTCTGATTGGGCATTTGACTTAACTCATTTCATATCTTCTATAAAATAGGGATAGTAATGGTATCTTCCCTTTAAGGTATTTGAGAGAATTAAATAAGCTAATGGATATAAAGTTTTCAGAATAATGCCTTACATACAGTGAATATCTCATAATTGGTATTATCATCTTCATTGCCTTCATCATCATCATCATCCTTGATGCTCTCACTTTGACATCCACCTTCAGTAGTTGGAAGGGCTACAGAATAGATGGAAGGATTAAAAATGAAGAATTACAGCTATGAGAAGAATTAATTTCAGATATTCCTCTAAAATTTCAGATAACGCTTCATGTGATGACTTGCATATTAAGACTGAAAATATTATCTAAAACCCACCATTGTTTAAATTCCATATGGGGATGATTGCATTCAACTTTTTAATCTCTGGGTATGTTGTACATAGCTAGCATTCAGCAAGTATCTATTGAACATAAGTAAATATCTATTGTAGAGGAGTACAGAGAGTGATGAATTGGGTGTCAGGAAATGTGTGTTCTCATCTGCCACTTTCTAGTTATTTGGGCAGGTAATTTAACTTACCCTAGCTTCAACATTCTCATTTGTAAAATCAGTTGGATTGTGATCTTCAGGTTGCCTCCTAGCTCTAAATGTAGGATTCTAAACAATGTAACATCATAAGATTACAATTTTTTACATTTTTTTATGTCAGACAGGTAATGTGCTGACCCTGTAACAAGGCTTGAGGGAGGCACGTCTTACCCGTGAGGTGAAACCTCAATCATCACACTTATGAACTATTCAAAAAGATCAAAATGATAATTTTATTACATCAGAAAAAAACACTCAAACTGTGCTTATATACACAGGACTGAGTTCTTCTCTGATTATTTTCAGATTATAACAGTAGAAATTTTCTTGAACACTTGTTTTTCATTTTTTCTTTCCTGGAGCTGGGGAACTCTACAATCCATTGGAATCAATTCAGATGTGAGTCTTAAAACTTTGAGGGCTGGGTCAGTGTCTTAGGTATGCAGTAAGGTGTGGCAACTCTCCTTACTCAGTATTTATGAGCTGGAGGGTTCCTTATCTCAAGGAGTGACCTCTTCTAGAGAGTGCCTGAGCTGGAGTTTAGTAGCTACTCCCTGATTTGTGTAGAGGATTCCTCTAGAGTGTGTGTCAATTGTTTGACCTTAAACAGAGGAGAAAAAGAAATACAGACTTATTTAAATCATAGTCTGAAATGTAGTGATTTCAGTCTAATCTGATAATTTTCAAAACCAGACTGGAATTATATTCAGGAACTGTGGTTGTTGTGCACTGGGGTGTGTGTGTGTGTGTGTGTGTGTGTGTGTGTGTGTGTGTGTGTTTATATTGAACAGTTTGGAAGTTAAGTATTGAGGCCTTTAGGTATTTACAATAAGCAAACAATAGGGAATTTTGCTGAAGCTAGTCATAGTTGGAGAGAGGACATTCTACCAATGATCATTTTACCTTTCATTCATTGTGTATTTGGTCCCTGACCAAAATATTAGTCATTTAATGTTCTGTGGGCTAAATGTACACATTTTACTTGGATGGACTAATCATTTCTAAAGATACTCCAAGTAAAATTTTATTAGTTTCAGTCCCTTTCTCCTTCCAATTTCTTGATGTTTGGAAGGATTTGGCACAGTACTTGGCCACAATGAAGGGACTAAATAATTATTGGAGAAACACATGGTTAAGGTAACTTGAAGGTGAAAGAAGATTAGTATTTTGTGTCATAGTTTTTAGTGGACATAATGTTTTTGGTGACATTGTGATAAGAGTCTTGGGTAAAGCATCAACTTCACATCTGTGAAACTATGGTAGAACTTTCCAAATGTCTTTTTACCCTTGTGTCCCCAAGAAATGCTCAGACCATGTCCCGTGAGTGGCCCCATTTTTCCTGAAGTAATGAACAATAGCTACACTGTAACTTCTGGTGAATTTTTGAATTTTATTTTTGATGTAATGATTTATTTTAGAATATTAATGATACTTAATATATGAAAGATCAGAAAATACAGGTAATCTCCACCAATGTAAAATTACTACATATAAAATCTTTTGAACGTTGGAGACAAAAGCTCTAATTAAGTGTAAGTGTACGTGTATAGAAATAGTTGGAAATGGTGATAGCTACAGCAATTCATGAATTATTCTCATGGGTAAATTAAAAGGTTAAATCATGCAGTTCTGCTTCATTCCTCTGTTTTTTAGCTTTGGTAATTGGCAGAACAAAGTGTTGGTTCTGCCTGGCTCTTTGGTGAGAAATACAAAATTTTTAGCGATTAGAATAAACCTTTGAAATGTAAAAAGTTTCATATGTTTATGGCATATGATTCAGATAATTAAGCACTTTGTTTTTTTAAAAAATGGGTGATCATGTATGAGTTTTCTAATTCTTCTCTGCTTTGGTCAGTTGTTTTATGTTTGTGATGCAGAAGGCTGCTGACACTTACTTTGTCATTTTCCAGCTGTTTTATTTTTTTCAAATCCTAGGAAAATGTGTAAAAAGCATATAAAAAATTTTTAAAATTTTACATCTGGTCTATGAGTGCCCCGAGCACATTTTGTAGGTGATAGTGAGGGAATTCTTCTGAGACCTAGTTGTTTAAAAGTGTGTAGCACCTCCCCTTTGCTCTCTTGCTCTTGGCTTCTGCCATGTGAGAAGCTGGCTCTCCTGTTGCCTACTGGCCTGATTGGAAGCTTCCTGAGGCCTCCCTAGAAGCAGAAGTCACTAGGATTCTTGTACATCTTGCATCTCCATGAGCCAATTCAACCTCTTCTCTTTATAAATTACCTGAGGTATTTCTTTATAGCAATGTGAAATGGATTATTACAAGTGGTTAGATACAAATGTGATTTGTTTGTACTTCTGGTCATTCTTTTCTATTTATTGCACATGGTGGAAGCTGGTTTGGTCTTTTCTCTACCCTAACTGTCATCATCAGGGGATGTCTCAGTGTCCATATA